AACAATAGATGCATTCCACCGACCATACCTATGGAGTTCGCTTGTGGCGCCACCATAACCTTCTCCATATCCACCTTGATAAGCAACAGCTTGCTCTGCAAGTTTGTAACCATCACAATCAATGACAAACAGCAAAGATTCATAGTTCTAAAGTAAGTCCAACAATGTAACCCTCCTTTTCCCAACAAGACAACCAAATCAAAAAGGAAAAACAAGTCAACCCAACACTGTACGTAATGAACTCAGCCATATTGTTCTTGAAGAGATCCGAAATTTCGAATTAATTGAGAAGCTAAAAATCATAAAATTTAAACATTGTTCTCTACCCTCAATTTCTCAGCAACCAAACAGAAGATAAAACTCAAAAGTTTTAATTTTTTTCAACGAAGTTCACTTAAATATCACAAATGACAGCTACCCAATAATGAAAACGCAAAACCCACATCGAAAACATCGCAATTGGGATATAACGAAACACAAATTTGCATACCAGAAGGATCAGGCTCCTGCGGACTAACCAGACCGGCATGGATAGAAGGCGGGTAGCGATCAGAATCAGCAGCCGCCGACCGTATCTCCTCGACGCTGACATCAGTCCCGGCCAGCGCCGCCGTCGGAAGCACCGACCCAGCTCTTCCCACGTACTGGTACGAGCTCCATTTCTCACTCCCCTTCTCTCCCAATTCGCCGCTTCTCCCTTCAGCAAACGATCACAAAAAATAAAACCCATTAACAAAAACGGAATCCAAACAAAACAATCAAACATTTTATTTGTTGATGAAATCAGAAAGGTTGGGAATTGGGGGAGTGGGAATGCACCTGATGAAAGCAGAGGCTCCTCCATTGCTGTGTGGGTGTGAGAGAGTGGAGAGGATGAGAGAGCTGGAGATCGGTGGGCTAATTATAACGTGGGATTTACTTCGCCAGTAAGGCATATGAATCGAGTCAATACCAATCCAATTAATTTTAGATTGATCGGTTTGTCGTGGACTCGTAGGCGCGAGGAGGAGTTGGTCTTTTTACCGCTTAGCGCGGCGAAGGATTAACCGCCAAAAGGTGTTCCTCTCAGAACTGTTCATTTTAACAAAAAATTATATTTTTATACTAAAAAATTAATTTTGGTATTATTTAATTTGCCCTTTATTTTGTCTTTATTATTAAAATTCAAAGTTTTCAAACCTTTTTCATTAGTTTTCCTTTTATATTAAAAAGGGGATAGAAGGTTTGAATTTGAAATACAATGAATTATAGAGAAAGACACTAACCACAGAGCAATCCACCACTTATGAAAGTGCTTTAGAACTATAACAAACAATTTAAGTTCTTACGTCTACCATTGTCGGAAGTGCCTTCAATTATTTAGACTAAACACACTTTCATTTTTAGCAATAAAAAGTTGTTTTTGACTTGTTTGGCAGAATTACTTAAAAAGTATTTTGAATTTATAAAAATACACCGCTCAAGTGTTTCTTAGGGTTTAGGAAACACTCTCAAATAATTTTGCATAAATCACTTGAATTTTTAGTAATAATTTTGAATTATTTGTAAAAGTAAAGTGTTTTCTCGAGTAAGAAAATTCTCAAACGCTAAATTATGTCAAATTAAAATTTCACAAGTTAGGGTTTATCTTGGGCCTAAGACCAGTAGGCCCAAAAAATAACAGTACCCAAAGCGTACTAATCACACAGTCCGCGCATACACATCGTATAATTCCTCCTGCCGTATATAAACCCTTCACTGAATCCTCCTCCCCTTTCTCCTAGGGTTTCCGTCTTCCCAACACACCAGCAGCCAACAGAGACGCACAGAGCTCCGTTCGAAAATGGTGAAGGGACGCCAAGGAGAGCGCATCAGGTCCCCTCCAAAATCTCATCTCTTAAACCAATCCTTCGTCAATTTCTCCAACCACTTAATAATAATCAAATTTCTCATCATTTTTTTTCTGAATTTTTTTAATAATTTTTTCGCAGACTTTATGTGCGAGGAACTGTTCTGGGATACAAGAGGTACTAAAAATGGAGTTTTTCTGATCTGGGTTATTGAGCTAAGGGCGTGTTTGGCAATGGGTTTTATTGACATGGGGGTTTTTGCTTTTGGGGTTTTTTTGTAGGTCCAAGTCGAACCAGTACCCGAGCACGTCGCTGATTCAGATCGAGAATGTGAACACCAAGGAGGATGTGGCGTGGTACGCCGGAAAGCGGCTGGCGTACATCTACAAGGCCAAGGTGAAGAAGAACGGTAGCCACTACCGTTGCATTTGGGGAAAGGTCTCCAGGCCTCATGGAAACAGCGGCGTCGTTCGCGCCAAGTTCACGTCCAATCTTCCCCCCAAATCCATGGTAATTGATTTGTTTGGTTAAATCTTTAAGTTGCCAGTTTTGCTTAATGTTGATTTGATTAGGGTTTAATTTGTTGATTACTTTGGTTTGTTTAATTAAACAGGGAGCTAGAGTCAGGGTTTTCATGTACCCCAGCAACATTTGAGGTACTAATTTTTTTCGTTAATGTGTTAGTTTTAAGGGCATTGTGATTTCAATTACTATTGCACTTATTCTGTTGCTTTATTGCATACCCGAATAGATGAACTCGATTTAACAATCACCCATTAACCAAATAGTTATGAATGGAAGGAATTTAGGCCTCTCCTGGTTTACGGGTCGAAACTTATTTCATCTGATCTCTAATAGAATGGTTGAAATTAACAAGTAGTTCAGATTATTAATTGCTCTCACAACAGAGCTATGCAAAAATACTGCACTCTGTCGGGTTTGGACCTCAGCGAGACTGTCAAACCACCAGGATGTCCCGAGATGGACTGATGGATATGTGAATCGAGTTTTAATATATTTAGAATAAGCAATTTTCCCTGGTACTTGCACATTTGCATATATGTTTTTTGTAGTCATAGTTTCGTTTCTTTCGGTGTGTGTGTTTCTTGTCGTCATTGTCGTCGTTTCATCTGTTTTGCAGGTATGTGGCTAATGTAGATGATGGAATGCATTGGAGGTGGAGCATTTCAAGTTTTGGTTTTATTTCATCTAGAATCGTGTTTAGACTTTATAAATCTTCTTGTACTCGTGAATGTGAGATGTTTACAAAGATGCTTGCTGCTTCTTTTGAATATGCCTCTTGTTATAAAGTCTTCTATCTTGTTTCTGCATTCCATCGTGAATTATCTGCAAGTTATGCGTATAGCTTTTTTGTGAAGAACGAAAAGCATTTCAATGCGCGACTCTTTGGTGTGTGGCAACTGCTTGGGTCTGTTTCAATACATAAAATTTATATGCGACTGTTTGGGTCTGTTTCGGATGGTGTGTTTTGAGAAGCTATGAGTTTTGATTCGGTCATTGAATACCTCTTGTATTAGTTGATCCCACTGCGTAAAGCCTTCGTTAGGCTTCTCTGTTTTCCACCGCCATTGTGGCGATGATGAGCCTAACAAATGTGTTGATAGTGCGTCCGCGACTCCGGGCAGAAATTTCTCTCTTGGAAAAACAATGGAGATTAGCATTGCATATGATGCAAATCGCTAGGGGAGGGATCGTGTAACCGGAATTTGAACATAAGTTCTGTTTTACTTTGGAAAGAATCAACAGGAGAGGGTTAGGAGGACGGGAATTTGAACTTAAAATCTCTTTTGACGTTGGAAGGAAAAGTATCACTATAACTACATCCATGTAAATTGCATGGTTAGAGGTTAGAACTGCCAAAGATTTTTCCTGTTTCAGAAAGAGTTTTAGTTAGAACAGTCTTTTTGCTGTCTCGAATTTTAATGTCGTAGAGTTGAGGATGTTCCTACAAAGGTAAAGAGGTGTCTCAAGGGTGGAGAAATTTTTTAGTTTCCAGAACGTGGCTCGATATATGCCAAGTAGAGTATTTATCATAATGATCAAAATTTAATACTCAATTTCATAAATGTCAATTTTTGAAAGAGAATTCAAATTTAGCCGAAATTACACTCGAAAAGACTCAAATACCCTGAAAATAAAAAACAATATAAACCTAAGTCTAAACCCTCTGAGACAAAAGTATGCACTTTTGCCGATTCATTCACCAACAACAAAATATGCAACTTTTGTAAGCTGATGAATGGATATGGATTCACTGAGTAAAAATTATTATTGGTGTATATGAACGATGAACCTATTAATTGTAATCGTAGTTTTCTTTAATTCTAGCAAAGAAGTAAAGTTTCCTTTGATCCAATACCCACCTATCCCACATACAAAGCAACTGAATTTTATGGCTTATCACTGGAAAAATTGTCGGCAACTGGATTCCATGAAGATGATTCAATTTTGGTGGAAAGAAAATTAAGAAAACCCACATCAATGACAACTCATATAGGATTCAAAGGTTACAATAATTAAATGAAATCATCAGTAAAACAAGCCAAAGAGCTCCAATCAAAATCCTATGGCAGTTTCTTTAGAATTCAAAGGTTTTAGTCAAATTACCCCTACCAAGTTGGGGGAATTAGAACCCATGAAAGAGGAGGTGGCTATTGTTAGTATTTTAAGATATTTCCATGGTGTTGAAGCTTACTTTTCGGTAGTCAAGTTAGTGTTCCCTGGTGACAACCAAATAGTATGGGAACTTAAAGGATTTTTGTTGTAGTGTAATTTGGTTTTAAAGTTTTGGGCATTAAAGTCTATTCAAGCACATTTTCTGTTATTGATAGTTTTTATAAAAATGGACATTTTTGAAATTGAGGGATACGTTTTGGCTATATATGATAAAATCTTTACCAAGTATCATAATACAAATAGTTGATTTTTTTTCTTTTCTTTCAAGTATCAAATTAATTGTACTATGACATTTGATGTACCGAGCTGTATTCCGGCAAAAATTCCTCTCCGTGGTGTGGGGAATGGTAGGTAAGCTCAGTGACTCAGTGCCCCATATCCTCCCACATCACCTCCTCCACCAATATTACGCGTTCACATTAATCTGTGAGAAATATCTTCGACTTTGCAATCATGTCCTCTACCAATAAAACAAAACCGGCACAAATCTTTCCAACCTTTTCACACTCCCCAAATCCCCACCCATTTTCAGAAACACGACGACGACATACGCGTACACATCGTCAAAATTTGGGCACTCCCCTAGTCGATCCCACTGAGTATCGCCTCCTTGGTGGTTTTTTGCAGTATCTGTCTCTCACCCGTTCGGATCTTGCCTATGCGGTTAGTCACGTTACTCAGTTCATGCATCCCCTACGAATACTCATCTTATAACTGTCAAACGACGATTATTAACACTCCAAAAAACTCATGCCGCATTGATCCACCTTCGTTTGTCGGCTCAACTACTTCTGTTTTATGGCTTTGTACTAATCACAAATTTCTTTCTTTTTCATTGACCCCACTGCCCACATGACAGCAAGAAGCTTGACACTCATAAAAGCACTCATACGCTCTTCTTTTCTTTCCAAAGTTTAAATCTTTCTTTCCCACTTCGCAGTTCACAGGGACAAGGCATATGAGATGATGTTCATAGTTTTCCTGCTGTTCTCACTGCACAATGGCGAAGCAGCGTCTTCGTCGTCTTCTTCTTCCTCGGCTTCGAATTATCTGATCGGCCTCGGAAGCCATGACATAACAGGGCCTGCTGCCGATGTGAACATGATGGGATACGCAAATGCAGAGCAGATTGCTTCTGGGATTCACTTCCGGCTTCGAGCTCGCGCGTTTATTGTGGCAGAACAACAACAGGGGAATCGTGTGGTGTTTGTGAATCTGGATGCATGCATGGGCTCCCAAATTGTGACAATTAAAGTGCTTGAGAGATTGAAAGCAAGGTACACATACACAACCCTCCTGCTAATGTTTTTTTCTCATTTGTTTGAAGGTTTGATTTTTCTTACTGGGTTTTACTAAAATTGCTCCCTATAAGCATATATTACGGAATCATAAAAATACAACCTATGGAAAATGAGCTTATTTGTGACTGTTTTCAGAACAGTTAAAAGCACCAAAAACGCTTTTGACTGCGTTTAGAATAAAGCTAAATGCTTCAAGGCCTTAGAAGCGTTTTTAGGAAACCAAGTTCTCTTTAGAAAGTACTTTCATGACTTTATTTTAGAAAATTTTGACGTATTTCTAATAAACGCACTTTAAGCAAAAGCGCTTATGAGTAGAAGAATGGCGTTTATATACAATTTAGTGTGTATGTTACTCTATTTCATTACTATTTCATTTGTGCAATCAAGGTATGGGGAACTTTACACAGAGAAGAATGTGGCAATTAGCGGGATTCACACTCATGCAGGGCCTGGGGGCTACCTTCAGTATGTTGTGTATATTGTGACTTCTCTTGGGTTTGTAAGACAGTCATTTGATGTTCTTGTTGATGGCATTGAGAAAACCATTATTCAAGCTCACGAAAATCTCCGTCCCGGTTCAATTTTTGTGAATAAAGGTAAGGAATTTCACTCATAATTTCTGTAGTCTTGTTACCATTTTGTGATGCTATTTTAAATCTTTTGTCATTGTTTTATAGGAGAGCTCTTAGATGCTGGTGTTAACCGCAGTCCAAGCGCATATCTCAACAATCCTGCAGACGAGAGGAGAAAATACAAGTATGATGTTGATAAAGATATGACACTCATAAAATTTGAAGATGACGAGTGGGGCGCTATAGGTAGCTTTAACTGGTTTGCAACTCATGGAACTTCCATGAGTCGTACAAACTCATTGATAAGCGGAGATAACAAAGGAGCTGCAGCACGATTCATGGAGGACTGGTTTGAACAGAAAGGTGTTAAAGGTTTCGATGGCCTATTTGCCAATAGATCAGATACTGGCAGAATCCCCAGAAGAGTCTCAACCCTAGTTCCTAACGATGATGCGAAAGGTAAGTGAAATTTTTTTTGTCCATGATTTAGTGTAGACTGTTCGGCTTTCTAATAACAAATGGTATGTACGTAACAGGCAATGAGTTGATGACACTCGCCGCCTCCTTTCAACCTTATAAAGGACAACCTGTGACAAGGCTTTCAAGTTCTGCAAGACGGGTTAGGAATGCTTTGAGGAAGGCGGAAAGGCCTGAATTTGTATCTGCATTCTGTCAATCAAATTGTGGCGATGTAAGCCCAAATGTTCTTGGTGCATTCTGCACAGACACAGGACTTCCGTGTGATTTCTATCACAGTACCTGCAATGGCAGAAATGAATTGTGCTATGGCCGGGGACCAGGGTACATGTTTCTACAATCTCCCTAAGATTCATATAATGGTGAAACATCATACCTATGCCGTTTTAAACAATTTCTTCATTTGGCAGTTCCGATGAATTTGAGAGTACTCGCATAATTGGTGAAAGGCAATTCAGAAAAGCTGTGGAACTGTTTGACAAAGCAACTGAGAAGCTCAAAGGGAAGGTTGGATACCAACATGCATACATAGATTTTTCCAGCCTTGAGGTCTCAGTTCCGAAAGTTGGAGGGGCTGAGGTAGTGAAAACGTGCCCCGCTGCCATGGGGTTTGCCTTTGCTGCAGGAACCACTGATGGCCCTGGAGCTTTCGATTTCAAGCAGGGCGATGACCAGGTAAGAAGTATCTGGAGCAAGTTTGTGCCTTCTTTACATAAATCTTGATTGGTTAAGCAACTCAACTTTGCCATGATTGTTTTCTTTCATGCTTCTGTAGGGTAATGCATTCTGGAGATTGGTAAGGAACGTGCTGAAGGCACCAGACCAGGAGCAAATCAATTGCCAGTGTCCGAAGCCTATTCTGCTTGACACTGGGGAGATGAAGGAACCATATGATTGGGCGGTATGTATTTGTAGCTTTTTTACTGGCTCCATGCCAGATTTGTGATGCTGTTAGCGGAATAACTTATGGTGCAAGGCATTACAATTTGAATAATTTCTACGGTGTAAATGTAATATCAGAAGATAAATTTTTTGTCCGAAATTTTTAATTGGCACTGATGAAAATATGTCTAACTACATCTGCAGCCCTCAATACTACCGGTTCAAATTTTACGAATTGGACAGCTGGTCATTCTCTGTGTACCTGGAGGTACAACCAAACCTATTTTATCGTGTTTACACCCTTCGCGCCATTATTGTTCCTCAACGTAGTAAACTAACCTAGATATCGTTTCTTCAGAATTTACAACCATGGCTGGAAGGCGCCTCCGCGATGCTGTCAAAGGGGTCCTTATCTCTGGAGGTAGGAAAGAATTTGACAACAATGTCCATATAGTCATTGCAGGGCTAACAAATACATATTCACAGTATGTTACCACCTTCGAGGAGTACAAAGTGCAGAGATACGAGGTTCGATTCACTCATCCCTCAACTTTTGTGGTTTGTTCATTCTGTAATTTATCATGTCTTCCAAAATTAGGAACATAATGAACAGAATGGAGTGTTACATTCCCAGAAGAAACACGAATTCTGATTTTTGTTCACTTTTAAGGGAGCCTCCACGCTTTACGGACCACACACACTTGAAGCGTACATCCAAGAATTCAAGAAACTAGCTGCAGCTCTCGTCAATGGCCAAACTGTCGAACCAGGTCCACAGCCACCAGACCTCGTCGACAAGCAAATCAGCTTACTAGCACCAGTTGTCCTGGACGCCACCCCTCTTGGTGTTAATTTTGGGGATGTTAAAACCGACGTACCTCTAGATTCCACCTTCAAGAGAGGCAACACGGTTGCAGTCACCTTCTGGTCTGCTTGCCCAAGGAATGACCTCCTGACAGAAGGCACATTTGCATTGGTTGAGATTCTACAGAACGACAAAAAGACATGGGTTCCGGCCTATGATGACGATGATTTTTGCTTGAAGTTTAAGTGGTCACGGCCTGCAAAACTTAGCCCTCAGAGCTATGCAACTATTGAATGGAGGATACCGGAAAATGCAGCTTTCGGTGTCTACAGGATTAGCCATTTTGGTGCCTCAAAGAATTTACTCGGGTCCATTCGCCATTTCACAGGTTCTTCAAGTGCTTTTGTAGTAGCATAGGCAGTTGGACATGCTGCACGAATGCACACTACCAACATTTTAAATTATGCACTGACGCTCCCCACAAGGCTTATTTGTATTGTTGCACTCCGTACAGTGTGTAGCAGTAGACCGAGGCAGGTGAATAGTTCTTCTCTGCTATATCTAACGTCTTAAGTCAAAGGAGAAATTACAGATCAGTGAAGATTAACGAACTAACGATGCTTTGCCCAACACTAATTACCACCAAACGACACAAGTCCAACCGAAAACCAAACCAAAGTTGCCGGCCTAACGTTGTCTTAACGGAATATGCGACGCCGGCAATCGACATCTTAATCGCAATCATCAGTTAATTACAACGTAATCAACATCCCTCTCTGATTCCTTCACTGTCTCCGCTTATTCAAAAGGTGCGCGCATTTTGTCCCACTCCAATATTTCAACAATTCAAAGCTGACAATTACCTGAAAAAAAATATTTAAAGGAAACCAACTACATGATTATCACGCGCAACACCAACCGTCCGATGAAAGAAACAGCAAACGCTCTCACCATTTGTGGGCCCGCCAAACCATAAAACCGGCATCACCCGTTTACCGTTACCACAACGTATAACTAAAGCTCGCGCCTTACATCCCCTTCGCACTCTTCGATTCCATTCGATTTGGTTTGATTAGATTCTATTCGATTCGATTCATATTCGATGACGATGTCGGCGCCGATCGAATGGACAACGGTCTGGATGGTCGCCGCCTGGTACGGCTCCAACATCGGCGTCCTGCTTCTAAACAAGTACCTGCTCACGAACTACGGGTTCAGGTTTCCGATTTTTCTGACGCTCTGCCACATGACGGCGTGTTCGGTGTTCAGCTACGTCGCCATAGCTGTGATGAAGGTGGCCCTACTGCAGAGCCTGAAGTCAAAGGTTCAGTTCGCCAAGATCGCCGGGCTCAGTGTCTTTTTCTGCTTCTCCGTCGTTTGCGGTAACGTGTCGTTGAGGTACATTCCCGTGTCGTTTAATCAGGCCGTCAGCTCCACCACCCCGTTTTTCACCGCCGTTTTTGCTTTCTTGATCATCAAGAAGAGGGAGGCTTGGCTTACTTATGCCGCCCTCATTCCTGTTGTTGCAGGTGTCATCGTTGCTAGTGGGGTAATCTAATCTTTCTCCTTTTTTTCTTCATCTATGTTCTTTTCTGATAAGACCGTCTAACAAATATGTTATGTTATACGACTGTTAATATGATATGTGAATATAAATCTTATAATTAAACAATATAACACGGAAGACTTTCTGACAGCGTGACATCTAAACTATATATGGAATATCGTATCATTGCATAGGATGAGAGTGTATCCTTTTTTTCCCTCCTATTGTGTGGTATAGGAGACTACTTATGTTCTATCCATAGCGCATGCTTGAAATTGGTTTTAGAATGGGTAAAAGTGCTTTTAGATCACCGAGAGCACTTGTGATAGCACTAGATGGAAGAAGTTAAAAGTGCTTATGGGTTAGAAAAACACATGAGAGTTTCAGGAAGAACTTGGATTTTTATAAAAATTTCGACGTGATTCTGATAGATGCGTTTCATACCAACTACAACTAAATTTTATTTGAAGAGGTATCATCTGTTTCATACCGACTTTCATATGGTTGCAGGGCGAACCAAGCTTCCAATTTTTCGGGTTTATTATGTGTATTACAGCTACATCTGCAAGGGCATTCAAATCGGTTCTTCAACAAATTTTGCTTTCCTCTGACGGGTGACTTTTTCTTCGATTCATTTTTGCTGTCTCAATTGTTTTTGTGGTACACAAGTCAAGGACTAGACTTAACGATTCATACTTTATTGTTTTCCAGGGAAAAACTGGACTCTATGAACCTGCTGTTGTACATGGCACCATTAGCCGTGGCGTTCTTACTTCCTGCAACACTGTTGATGGAGAAAAATGTGGTTGGAATCACAATCGAACTTGCTCGAAAAGATATCAAACTTATTTGGTACCTGTTCTTCAATTCTTCAATGGCTTATTTTGTTAACTTGACCAATTTCTTGGTCACCAAGCATACAAGCGCTTTGACCCTTCAGGTAATAGTTGTGTTCACACAATGACATATTTTAGTAATCTCCTTCTGCACAAGACGGGAGAAACTTGCACTCAAACAAAATTGTCAAGGTGGCGGTATCTTAGACCTATCATGTGACACCGTTATGCCTTAACTTGCCCACTTAGTATCGTGTTATTGATTTGAGATACTGTCACTTTAACGTCTTATTTGCATGTAAATTATTTCTTCATTCAGAGAGATAGGGTTTTTAATTTTGACTATATAATTGGTCTTTCTTAAAAACAGGTGCTGGGGAATGCAAAAGGGGCAGTTGCTGTGGTGGTTTCAGTTTTGATATTTAAAAATCCAGTGTCATTCATGGGGATGGCGGGTTATGCACTCACTGTCCTTGGAGTTATTTTGTACAGTGAAGCCAAGAAGAGGTATAGTCGAATCCATCTCTAGGGCAAATGTTTGGGGGCCAATGCACCTTTTTGTGGAGAGATTTTTTAATGTGACGGGAATGCAGGGTGGTACATTACGTTTTCCTATATAAATGGTAAGATTCTTGTGTTAAAAAAGTAATAACGTAAAAAATAACATTTCTTACCACTTATATAATAACACATGGTGTACCACTCGCGTTACGACCATAGGGAAAAATTTCTCCTTTTTGTGCCCACTTTCATCTTCTTTTTTGTCCACGCCCAATGCGCTTGCGGTGATTCGAACTTAGAAATATAGAATCTTTTTCGACATTTGAAAGAAAAGTACCATTAGTTCAATATATAGTGTACACTTTTGTCGGTATTGTTTGCAAATTGTAAAATAAACTCTTTCCGAGAAATAAAAAATAGCTCGATTGCAGTTAATCAGTAGCAATATGCAGGTGGTATGAAAAACTATTGATTTTCACTTTGTTTGGGGCAGTGTTTGCTTAAATACGTTTCGAAATTAACGTTATAATGATTAACTGATCATACGACCAGTGGAAGCAAAAGATGTATGTGTGTATCTATTTTTCAATTTAAAATGGTAAGAATAACGAATGTTCACCATAAATGGCAAAGCCATGAATTGTGAAGGTTGAAATATAAAAGGATAGAAGTTTCTAACTTCTTTTTGTTGTGCTCCATAAAAACACATTCGGTTGTGAAAACTCGTCAAACACTTTCACAATCTTGCCCGTTTCTTCGCATTTAGAATACAATTCAATCAACGCATACACACAAACACATTCAATGCAACCTCGTCATGCTTCTTCATACATATTATTTTCATATGTGAGTACATTAACCTTGCACACGCCGTCAGAGCAATGAGAGTGGTGAAATTATTGAGCTTTTCATCATTGCTTTTTGACTCAAATATCATGTTATGGAAGAGATACAAGGTATCTTCTCATCGATCTCTACAATAGCTTATGAGCATGGCATTCAAAAGAGAGACACTTAAGTGGGGTGTTTCATTAAACACCTTGTGGGCATGACCGATTGACTCATATAATTTATAAGTATGCATATTGGGCTCTATTCGCTCGCTCAACATTGCATTAAAATACCTCTTGGGCATCATATACTGGTTGTGGCACATAATGACCTTAAATAGAGTCTCATAGGACTTGAAACTTCTCTACACACCCAGTTCCTTCATACTACCAAACAACTTAACAGACTTTTGAATACTTATAGCCTCATCGTAGTGCTCCTTAACGACACTGTTCTATGTTTTTTTTAATCACAGACCAAAGCAACGTTGTTTTGGCTTGCATATTAAAAAAATAAAACACAGAAGAAGTAATGAAGCATAAAACATAGAAAGTAACGAAGTAGTTTGGCAGATTCAACAATAATTCAAAGGACCAAAAGGGTGAAATCCTCACTCTCAATGACGATTTTCAGCAATCGAAGAAGCGGCCACCCCTCCTTATCCTCATGTAGCTTCACCATGTTCACAATCAAAATTCCTCAAATAAGCCGTGTGTTGGATTATCTAGCGTGATTTGCACCCACACATTGTTATTTGTATACTACTGCACTCAGCACCCCATCTCAAGATTCAAAGTTATTTCCCCTATAGTATCACTAGTGAAAAAAGTTACGTCATCACAATTAAGCACAAGCTCATATACTTCTCGTATTAAGTGAGTTGAAATTGAGACCAGTTATCTTTTTTTTTGAAAAAATAAAAATTAAAAAGTGAGTTGAACTTGAGACCTCCTTCCACTTAAACCTTGACTCCCTTTTTTTTTTTTTTTTTTTTTTTCCCAAATAGAACCTTAAATTTATTTATTTTAATTTTTCGTTAAAAAACCAAAAGCCCACACCAGCCCTCAAGTGGATCAACCCAATAACCAACCCAAGAAACCAAACCAGTAAACCAGTCTCCTCCTTCTTCCAAATCTGAGCCCCTCGTCCCGTAACCCACCCGCCAATCAACACAATTTCAGAGTTTCTTCTTCTTCTTCCGCCGATTTTCCCCAATTCAGTTCAGGTATTGCTTAAATTTCTTTTTATTTTTTCTTAATCCCACATAATTTAATATCTAATTACTAATTCAATTCAATTTCTATCGGATTGTATTAGGGCTTGCGGCGGTAACTGAATACCATACCCTTTTCAGACTTGGGTTGCTCGAGCTTACGACCGCCGACGACGTCGTAACGAAGAATTTCCGGTAAGTCTATTTGCTCGTCCCGATCAGTCCAAAGAAAATTGGAAATTTGAGATTTGAGCTTTGGAATGCAATACCAACTTCTAATTGCATCCTGAATTGGATTCAATGGAACCAAACCGAGATTTCATGCTGCAAATTCCAATTTTTAGGATCACCTGCGTAGTTTAATTCCTGATTGATACAGAGTTTCGAGAGAACATGTGAAAATTCAACTTGTTGGTGTTACTTTTTTTTTTGTAGCATCCACCTGAACCTTGTAGATTAGCTTATCGCAGTTAGAATTTTTTCAGGTCAACCTTCGTTTTGTTCAATGATGTTCTGCCTGTGTGGTTTCTGTGTTTGGTTCTTACAACTTAGGAATACCTTGTGGCTGACTGCTTACCTCTAGATTCGTCTATTGCTTGTGTAGATTTGTGAATAAGCTATAGTCTTTGCACCTTCTCCTGTCTGTCTGTTATCAGTCTTCGATAATTTCCTTAATTCTGGTCATAGACGTGAGAAATAAAAACGCTAATATCGAACCAAATTCTGTTCAATCTAGTTTTAATTTTCAATCCCAGATAAATGCATCGGTGCTTATACATCAATTGACATCCATGTGTAAGTGCATAATACACTCTTTTAAATAACCCCAATATGAGGACTTATCATTTTCTATTCATCTACAGGAGAAGATATTCAGTCTTGTAATTGTATACTGAAGTGGAAATTGTAAGCGTGCTATAGTAAGTCGCAAACTTTATACATTGATTAGAAGAGGGTAACAGTATAGTGAAAGATGCTTCAGATCCGGCTTAAGAGTGTTACACCACCAGAGGGTGCTGCAGGGGCAAAACACTTGGCAGAAGAGACTGTGACTGTTGCATGCCCTGACCACCTTGTCCTTGCTGATCTTCCTGTGGCAAAGGGCATTGGTGCAGCAACCACCACTACTATTGTCAAGACTGTAGGCCGCAGGTCTCGTCGGCAGCTTGGAGAACGTGTCCACTTTTGTGTTAGCTGCGATTTTCCAATTGCTATCTATGGACGCCTGGTATGGACCAACTGAATATGTCTTTCCATATCTTTGAGTTGCTTTCGCTTTAAATTTTTCCCTCCTTGTATTGGGTTTCAATATGGTCTTGGTGTTATTTTCATAACCTGAGCCTCATACATTTAGACGTTGGGGAAATTAACTAGCTTGTGTTCTTGCAGAGCCCTTGTGAGCATGCCTTTTGTCTGGATTGTGCTAGGAGTTACTCAATATGCTATCTGTAAGATTTCTGAACTTTACATGTGTTCCTTTTCTTTCGCCTAGTGAAGGAGCGGAAGGGTTTTCTTGGGCTTGCATGTGTACTTCTATTATTTAGAGGAGGACTCACCCAAGGGATTTAAATTGAGGGATAATACACTATAAGGCTAAACTTGTTAGGAATTGGCTTGTCAATGGTTGTGTCCTATTTTTATTTAGGATTCTTTTAGGAAAGCGAAAGGTGCACATATTCTTGTCCTACAAGGATTAGGAAAGAATTAAGTTTTCTTGAACTATTAGATTAGGAATCTTAAAGCAGAAACGGAATAGGAATGTAAGTAATAGAATACGAAAATAAATCAGAAAATAGGCATGTAAACTGCACCCTGTACCTATAAATAGGGTGCGGCAAGGGGCAGAGAAACAAAAAGAAAATAGAGACAGCCGAGAGAAGCCAGAGGGATTTGTTGTTGGGAACTTTAACGAAAAGCTTCCTGTACTGTTCACTTTAACGAAAAACCACATTTTTACACTAAAAAGTCGATCCTAGTACTATTCACTTTACCCTTTATTTTGTCCTTATCGTTAAACTCAAAGTTTTCAAGCCCTTTTCATTAGTTTTCCTTTTGTTCTAGGGTTTACAAAAGCACTGTATGCTCTATTATCAATTCAAAGAAGTCGTGTTTTCTCTACTTAGACAAATCACAACTGGACGTAGGCAAAAGTTTTGCCGAACCAGTATAAATCTTGTGTGTTTGTAGTTATTTTCTATTTGCTAAGTTTAGTCTACTGCCATATACATCAAAGAACAAGTTCCATGGGGAGATGAAAATCTAACAAAATTTGCATCAATAAATTATTGATTACCACCATGCATAGGATTTAGTTGATGAATGATTTGAACATCTAACTTTCATGATTTATGTTTCACAGTTGTGATGAACGCATCCAGAAGATTCAGACAATCAAAATGATGGAGGGGATCTTCATTTGTGCAGCACCTCACTGTCTGAAATCTTTTCTGAAGAGGGGTGAATTTGAATCTCATATTCACGAGAACCATGCTTACCTTCTTCAGCTAAATGGAGACAAAATGGATGGAAATGAATCAGAATCTCAAAATACCAAACAATGTACAGTATCTGAATCCACTGCTCGTGCTCCGTCAAGGCCAGTATTTTCCCCTGGTTCAAATTCTCAGCTCCATGACCGCGAGGACAAAGCTCGGCTTCAACAGTCTAGAGAACAATCACTTCCAAGGCCAGTCATGCAGCCCAACTCAGCCCCAGCATTTGGGCAAGTTCAGAATAACCCACCAGACCCCAGTCAGCCCCCAGGCTTTGACAGGCCTGCTCCCCACAATCTCTTCCATCGACAAAGCTACGATTCAATGGGTGCTCCAATGCAGGAATCTGGCCAGTTTTCCGATAAGCAGCAAGGAATTTTATCTGAGACTCCCTTTTCTGAATATCCACCCATGCATTCCATTCCGCCCCCCAATTATGAAATTCCTGTTAATTCCAGTCAAATGAGGATGCCCCTTCCATATGGCTTTCCTTTTCCCAGTGATGGATCCCAACAATTTTATGGTGCTCCCTATGAGATGGCACGACAGGATTCAGCCCCAGATGTTGGACCAGAACAGGGGTCGTTACTGGGTTTCGCCCCAGGTTCAGTTGGGAACATGAATTTTCCGGCTAGTTATCCACAGTCTTGGAATGCAGGACAGGCTGGTGTTCCTTTTGAAGCTTCAACAGGGGGTCAAGGAAATACAGATGGTTTCTCTAACTCTGCAGAGTCTCAAGGAAAAGCTGCATTTTACCAAGGAGAATATGGACGGAATCCCGGGGGTTTGCCCTTCAATTCTCCGCAAATGACCAACAAAGCAATGGAAGCAGTGCAGGGTGGTAACACTATGGATCCTAGGGACGGCAAAGGTGTTTTAGCAGCACAGCCCATGTCACTTCCTCCGCCGCCTCCACCGCCACATCACATGTCACAACTCAAACGTAAGTTTTATCAAGGCGATACGGGACGAGACGGATAGGGCTAGGTCTGGAAACATGACTACCCCTGATGGCTGGTGGTGGCCAAGTCTAGAAAAGATTAATTTTTGTAATTTTTCCCCTTTTTTCCCCTCCCTGGAACTGGTTGCTGTTATATTGGTCCAAGGTTCTCTCTGAGTAATTGTATTTCCATGCTTCCGGTTAAACTCTTTGTTCCAATTTTTAGTAGTTTGCACGTGTCGAATTTAAAAATGAAGATGGCAATACATGTATAGCTGTTTTGGAGGTATGCGGAAATCATTAATCCTTAGTGCTGATTTTGATGGTAGTATTTTAAAATATTTCTCAAAAAGGGAAAAGACGAAAATATCATTTTGAATGGGAAAAAAAAGGACAAAATGTTTGGATTGGAAATGGAATATAAATGCTGATAACAACTGGTTTGACACGAACACGACAACAGATATAAATATTAACATTGTTACATGCAACTATGCAAGAGTGGAGTTATTATTATGAGAGTTTTAACGAAAAAGTCTATAATACTGTTCACTTTAACGAAAAATCACATTTTTACACTAAAAAGTCAATTATATACTATTCACTTTACCTTTTATTTTGTCCTTATCATTAAAACTCGAAGTTTTTAAGCCTTTTACATTAATTTTCCTTATTATATATAGGGAAATTACTAAAATGATCATTTGGCAACTCTCAGTTGCTGATATTATTAGTTTTTATTTGTCATCGATGTTCGATCAACGTCATTGATTTTTCATTTTGATCATTTTAGCCAATCTTGCTCACGAAACCAAAAATTTATTAATAATAATAATAAAAATGCTATGTACCTAAGAATGTGTTAAAGAAAATTAAAAATTCAACTCAAAAACTTAAAATGAATCTAGGAGGGTCTGTTTGAGAATGTCTAGCGAGACATTTAGTCAAGGCAAGTTCTTACTAATCTTATTAAATCTAGTCTCTGTGGGTAACAAACACGAGACTACATTAACTCTTAATTCAGGCAAATTTAGTGAAGGCTAATGATGGCAAAACATACACATCCTAAAACTTTGCACGAAGTGGTATTTTGGGAAACAACAAAATATTGATGGTATTTTTGTATGACAACATGAGGGGAAAGTAAAAGGAATTCGATAAACCCTCTTGCATTAATCAAATTCTTGAATTTGTGGTTTGCGATTTCAAATTTAAGGGTATTTCATTACGGATTTTTATTCTTTACTAGTAAAAAAATGTGGAAGAAAAGACTTACTTACCTTTCTTTTTATTTATATAACTCATAAATATTGTCCTCAAATTTTGGAAAATTTTGAAAAATAACCATAATTTAGACAGCCACCATTTCAAGTTTATAATAATTATAACAAAAAATTGATATGCAAATGCTAATATACCCTGAAAATATGGTTTCCAGAAGATCCAAAAAGACACAGGTGCTTCAAATTCAAAACCAAGTTCATATTAGTCTCCCAAGTTCCAGCCTCATCAAACCCAACAAAAACCCATAACAATTAAAAATTTAAAAAGTACTAGAAAAAAATCCGCAAATGATGATTTCCATCGTGGATCGTACGGTCCAACCATTGCAAAAAAACGCAGCAATCCATGGCAGCCGTGGAGCAAATCATGGCACGAATGGGTCTTCGGAAGGATCATAACCCAACTACCATTTCAATCCCAAAACACCATTAATTAAACAAAATGCAGTCAGATTTTGGGAAAAATTCAAGAGAGAGGGTACCTACCATTTCAATCCCAGATCACAAACAAATGCTTATAGGGTTAATTACGTCTTTTCGATAATCGGATGCAGTGCTTGCGCATTAGCTGGAGATTCTGCACAACCGATACTTATTGTGATCAATTTTGTGATGATCAATTTCGAGTAGTCATGTGGATTCAGAATGCAGTGAGGTGTAATGTTGAAGAGCTTGATCTTCATTTTGAGAACATTGTGCCTCCGTAGCCATCTTGCATCTTTCGTGCTCAATCTTTGTCATCTTGCAGCAAATGCATTAAGGAGTTACATCTTAGTCATCTTGCAGCAAATGCATTAAGGAGTTACATCTTAGTTTTATAGAAGGTATACAAAGTATCACCATTGAAAGTACGTCTGTGGAATCCTTTTCTGTTTCCGTTATTTGTCAACTCCGCCATCTTAATATTTCTGGTGAGAAACTTGAAAATTTAGATATAGAATGGATTTATTCTACATCAACATGGAGCAAATCCTTGAACATTTTTGCTCCAAGTCTTAAAAATTTGAAATGGAAAGGCACATTGACGTATATCCAAAATCTGGGAAATTTCAAGAGTTTGGAAAGAGTTCAGATGTTTATTTTCGATCCTCGGAACAATAAGTTTGACAAGGTATTTGGGATTCTCAGCAGTATATGCTCGGCAAAAGTTCTTACTATTAATAAGAACACCATCGAGGTATAGTCGGTTAGAATTTGTTTATTAAGCAATTTGCTAATGTAATTTAGAAGCATTTTAGGTTCTGGTACGTCCACTTTCTAAGAATTTTTCTTGAATAACTTACAGGCTCTGTCCAAGGAAGGTTCCGTGCCAGCACCGATATTTGATAATATGCGTAACTTGAGCATACATTGTGAAAACTTGAAAATTTAGATATAGAATGGATTTATTCTACATCAACATGGAGCAAATCCTTGAACATTTTTGCTCCAAGCCTTAAAAATTTGAAATGGAAAGGCACATTGACGTATATCCAAAATCTGGGAAATTTCAAGAGTTTGGAGAGAGTTCAGATGTTTATTTTCGATCCTCGGAACAATAAGTTTGACAAGGTATTTGGGATTCTTAGCAGTATATGCTCGGCAAAAGTTCTTACTATAAATAAGAACACCATTGAGGTATAGTCGGCTAGAATTTGTTTATTAAGCAATTTGCTAATGTAATTTAGAAGCATTTTAGGTTCTGGTACGTCCACTTTCTAAGAATTTTTCTTGAATAACTTACAGGCTCTGTCCAAGGAAGGTTCCGTGCCAGCACCGATATTTGATAATATACGTAACTTGAGCATACATTGTGAAAACTTGAATGATGACCTAGTTCCTGGAGTGGTCTCTCTTCTTCGGGGAATGCCTAATCTGAATATTTTGTACGTAAAGACTTCCCCCTAGACCGTTCCTGTTCACTCCCAAAACACAGTAAGTTCGAGTCCGTACGTGTTGCCTATTGATTTTCGTTTCAGGCGCACGACGCACATATTTTCCTTGTGGTAATTTCTGTAGTCATTTGGTTACTTATCGCCAGCAGATAAGTTTTGCAAGTTATACTTTTGGTAGTTTTAAATTAATTCGCTTTACGCTTGTTGCCTCTTGTATATTTTCAGTCAACTGGCCTTGGTTTGGACTATACTGGAAAATGCAAAACCTTGCTTTCATAGATCAGCTTAAGGAGGTAACCATAGAGCATTCCCATGGGTCAAATGAAATCGAGTTTGCAAGGTATATCCTCGAGCATGCTCAAAATTTGAAGAAAATGGTCATTGCTCTTTATAATGAAGATGCGTAATCACAAGTTGTTGCAGAAATGGTGAGTAGAAGATTTCCACTGCCATAGTTTGCACCAGTGTTCTAAAAGTTCCCGTTTAGCGCCGCCTACGCGCTAGGTACCTGGCCACCTTCACAATTAATCAATAGGAGTTTAAAAGATAAGAAAAATGCCTAGACCTGCATAGGCACCCGCCTAGGTCGCGACTTTAACTTAGACAAAAAATTGATAATTTTATTTTTTCAATAAATTGTAGGAGACTTGGATACGTAGATGAACACTCATTATATCCTTGTTCCCCATGCTTTCAAAATATTCTAGTACCTTATAATTCATGTTATTCTATTTTACAATTTATGTAACCTAATACAATTATGTATTTTATTTAAGTATAAGTAGACATTTATTTATATGTTATCTAACAAATTTAACTAAAACTAAAACAAATGCCTAGGTCCCGCCTAGACGCCTAGTCGCTAGACCTCTGCCTCCCAGCCGACTAGCACCTTTTAGAACCTTGGTTTGCACTGTGGCATCCGGACTGACTCTTACACAACCTCAGATTCCGATTCGAAGGCCTAATATTGGAGCAGACAAAGGGTTTTCTCGCATCTAAAAGGAAGTCTTTGAAATTTTGAGAGAAATTTATGTATGCCCTTGATAATTTTTACCAGTCGAAATGAAACTCAGAAAATATGTAAGACTCAACTTCTGGTATAAACTCAGCATTAGATTACAAAAACTCATGGCACTTTGACAGGACATTTCTGCAATATCTCTCAAACACCACCTCCTTGCAACTTCACTCAAACCTACATTGTCTTGCAAGGAACAAAATAAAAAAAGATTCAACCACACTCAGACGCCTCGCCTTAGCACTCTCGTGACCTTAACCCGAAAGGAAATTCAAAAAAGGTATTAAATGAGAGAAGACAAATCAACTTAGCTTCTTCTTCTCCAAATCCTCGTGTTGAAATCTGTTTACATACTCATAATCTAGTTTAACGTACAACTGCAGCAATTTCCGGTACCCCATCATGACATATTTGTCCACGTAATCTTCACACCTCTCGTAGAGCGCTGGAACTGTTAGAACGATCGCAAGACCTGCCATACAAGGGAAACAAAAACATAAATCAACTGAATAAGTTTACAACATGTGAATCTGGTGATGTCTTCGATCCAAATGGAAATGAAACTTTAAACTTACTGGTGTAGCTCAAAGTAAGAAAATCAGTCAAGCCACCAACAAGGTAAATCACCAAGAGGGATGCAGCTACTTTGAAGAACGACCTTGAGTCCTTTCCCAGAGAAATATATTGGAAAGCTGAGAGCAAAGCGTTTACATGAATGCGGATGAAAGAGGCCATTTCGTTTACCATTTCTTCTGATAAATGCAATTTAGGCAGGGGAGGAGCTGGTCTGTTCACAAAGTAGAGAGTGGCAAGATTGTAGCACATTTTGTAAGTTGACACATATATGCTATTTATTCCAAAATTTAAGAAAGTGTTCGGATAACATCAGCAAAACATGAAACATCTCAAGAAAAAAAAAAAAAAGCTACATACCAGGATGTTATGTGTTTTTCTTGTAACGAAATAATCAACTGATTTAACCACATAATTGTTACAATTCAGGAAAAGAAGCAACAGTTTGTTCATTTACCGGTTAAGAATGGCAGCGGATTTAGCCCAGAGAAAGAGAGTGGTCATGAGGAGGAGGAGAACACTTGAGCCAAGTGACAGCAGAGTGTAACCAGACTTCTCAAACACCACCCAAACAGATAAAGTTACTAGCAGTATCCCCAAAGTCACATTTTTCTGCCTCCACAGAATCACATCTGCAACTGTAAAAACCACAAAAATCACATCTCAACCAGATCAAGAATTTGTTAGGAATTATAGATCAAATGTAAATAATCCCGCATTGGAAGGATGATAGTCATCTCCCTAAACTTCACCGAGACTTTTTGTGATAAACCCCACACACCTGAATGAACAATGCATCCTTACTGGAACGGTATAACGCCATTAATCAAAGTGAAATTCAACTTACATTCATAAAGTTTATACTTAACTTTGAGAACTCCAAGATACTGGATTACAATTTTAATTACTACTTTAATCACAGTTTTAATCAAAATAGTGGTATGACGAACAAATCTGACTTACCAAGACCTCCTCCAAGGATCTCATGAAGTGTTCTTTTCCTGTTGAACAACCTTTCAGATGAAGTCATTTCCAAAATTTAAAGCCTGGAATTCCAGTTCAGATCCAAGACTCAAATAAAGATGTTGGCTTTGAGTTTTCAGAGGATCCTTAGTAAAAGAGGAGTAATGGGTTCCACGTATGTTGTTTATGTTTATATATATGTTATGTATGTGTATATACGGATGAATGTTAAAAGGTGCGAGTGGTGGTGGTCAGACAGTCATAGCTTCCAGCTGAAAAGCGTCTTCTCATGGCTTTTTCGAGTCCGGATCTGCTGTTCCCGAATCCCCTCTGATCACCCTCTGCTCGCTCTCTGCTGTTGACAAGTGTCCTATGGCATCACATCAAGTTAACAACGTTAACGTTTGTATCTATCTACTCGATGTTGATCGGCGGTGGGTGGATAGGTGAGGTGAGATTTTGGTGGGAACGATTTTGAACAGACGAGAGGCGATGAGGAGCAGATGGGGTTTCTCAAGTTTTTCTTTTATTTTTTTGTTATACAATTGTTATAATATCGGTTGTTTTTTTCAAAAAAAAAAAAAAGTTGATGGCCTGTCCTTAATTCGTGCATACAACCAACGATATATTCTCCTCTTCGTATATCTCTAGTCACGAGCAGTGACGATATACATTCCCCTCTTCCTAGGTCTCTAGTCACCTGAAGAGCGGTGTAGAGAGGAATGTATCGCTCGTGAACAGCCAAGAATCTCCCCTTCAAAAACTACCCCCAACAGATGAAGCAAGAAACTAGACCTTTGAGAAAATGTAACAGAAACTAAATCCTAATGTCTTGAGCCTATAAGAAGCATTTATAAAATGAAAGAAATGTAATCCATTGGAAAAAACTGGGAGGTTATTTTTTCAAGTTTATACAAATTGAGTTGACGAAAGTATAACAGAGTTGTATATGCGGCAAAGTGCGATGACTTTGCGCCAAGGATTGTAAGTTAACTGTGTAACCTGACATAGATCAATGATCCTCAACCGGTAAACAAAAAATCTAAGAAGACGTATACTTTTCTTTTCTCAATCAATTTTCTCTTGGCTGCCTGAACTTTCATTCTGAGGGTTGCCAGTACTGATCTGAGGGTTGCCACTAATGTTCTGAGGGTTTCCGATGCTGTTCTGAGGATTGTCAGTGCTGTCTTGAAGGTCGGTGTTGTTCTGAGGGTTGTCGTTGCTGTCCTGAGGGTTTCCAATGCTGTTCTGAGGATTATCAGTGATGTCTTGAAGGTTTCTGGTGTTGTTCTGAGGGTTGTCGATGCTGTCCTGAGGGTTTCCAACGCTGTTCTGAGGATTGTCAGTGATGTCTTGAAGGTTTCTGGTGTTGTTCTGAGGGTTGTCGATGCTGTCCTGAGGGTTTCTGCTGCTGATCTGTGGGTTTCTGGCTTGAGCACGGGCAATGGATGGAGTAGAATCCAAAAGACTGGCAGCTATAGCAGCTTTCAAGTCCTCATCTTCCATTTCTGAAAGCAAATCTGCTTCCTCATTTGATAGAACTTGTGCCGAAGATTGTGGATTCAAATCTGTTCCCTGAGGTTCAGCATTTGTGGAGTTGCAGGATTTAGATATCCTCTCAGCATCTTCAGGTGAAAGCCACTGCCCGTAACCATTAGAAGCTTCAGAGGATGAGATGGGACACTCTTTTGGGAAGTTTCCTCTCACCAGGAAAATGCTCCAACCGGAGCCTTTTAGTGTGTCCAGATAGGCTGAAAGGTAAAACTTTGAGAGGTGCAATGGTGCCGCATAAAGACTGTCGAAATTATACCACTCTCCACTCACTTTCCGGATACAAAACCAATGGTCCTGCAAATGACAGATAAATGCATTTTCAAGCTCAGGATCAATCTGGGCGGGCTCAGCAACCGGAGAATCAAGGGGGATGACCTGCAGATCCCAAACCTCTAAAGCCTTTTGTAGAACCTGCAAATGAAAACTTCAATGGTTTGCAAGTTATGGAAATGCTACAATCTCTTGTGGAGCAAAAGTCATGGTCGAAAATAATGAAACTGCAATCTGATGTTACATCAAAGCTTAAAAAGTGAATTAATTAAAAAAGAACCAACTAGATGCTTGTTTATAACCACTAACTGATTTATTCGGCAGCAAAACAAGATTAGGAAATTCAGTACAAAGCTAAATTACCAATATATCAACTCAATATATCAACTCACTCTGGAATCACACCCAGCAAAGTAAAATGCTACAGAACTAAAAATATTTCCAAATTTGGTAATTACAATTTTGCAAATGAGAAAATCCGAAGGAAAATCTAGTTCGACGTAATAATATATAAAACAGTACAGATAAAAGAACCTAATTTAATAGCTCATTTTGCATTTCCATGGTCATAACATCCACAAGATTTATCGTCAATTAGGGTAACGACAATCTGCTCAGGCTGGAGGAAGTTGTACTCTCCATGGGTGTATCAAAACTTGTTAACTAATCATGAAGTCTAAAGCATCACTTACTAGCTTGCATTGATGAAATAAATTAACATGAAAACAAAAAGATACCCCTGGGGGAAGCCCATTTTCCACCAGAGATTTGTGACTGGAAGACACGGTAAAGGTAGACACGGTAAAGACCATGGCAAAGCAAAGTGTAGGTAGTATTGGTACTCTTAAATTCTTCGTGCAAAGTGAAATAATAAATCTGAAAAGCAAAGAATAATGAATAATTCAGTTTGACTCACCAAAGCATCGTAATGACATCACCTTCACCATTCATAGACAACTGTGCTCGCAAATTCTTCTATCGCTCATTTAAAACATCCCATATGTATACATATGCATTTTATACACACACACGCGCACACAAACACACGCATACATAGGGGAATAATCAAGTGTGAATCCCTTCATCCAAGTTAGTCTTACTAAAATACTGGTCTGGCGTATTAGCATAAGAGAAATGCTAAGGGGACACTCTCAAAAGTGGGACTTTCTCAAAAGTGGGACTCTCCATGGACTCTTTGCCACCTCATGTTTTTGGCACAATGTTTTATAATGTTGGCCTGGGAATGACGTTAAACTGTGAGGTGGCAGAGAATCCACTTTTGAGAGAGTCCCCTTAGCATTTCTCTTAGCATAATACAGAGTCATCATTGCCTCTCAAACATAGACAGTTAATACCACGAAAAATGACAAATTTAGATATTCTAATCCACCAAACATGTGGCCACACACACATGAAAGCAAACAACTAATCATACTAATCAATGATTGGGTCCTTTGGTACACATGACCGCAAGCACACACATGGAAGCCAATAACTAATCAGAGTAATCAATGATCAAGTCCCGTGGTACTGCCACTCAGCTGTTACTATCATCTCCAGTGAGAAACTAACACATGACAAGCTTTGCTTGATCAACGATTGATCAAGGCATACATCCCACGGAAAGCCATGCCAAGACCAACCTCAACTAAAAATGGTGCCAGTTAACATGAAATTCGAGAATTTCTTGCACTCAAACAACAACAACAACAAAGCCTTTTCCCACTAAGTGGGGTCGGCTAAGAATAAAATTACCACACCACTCCTCTTATAATTATCTAAAGGTTCAAGAAGCACCTAATCAATCTCAAGACAAGAAAACCCAAATGGAAAGCATCATTTTCTGCAAACAACGAGTCCCATTCGTGAGCTATTAACAAACAGAGAATTATATAACAAAAGACTTCTTCTTTTTTTTCCTCCAACTAGCTCAAATGTTAAATTCCAAAACGCAATAACCAAATGCAATAAGGATTCATATATCACTGAATCAGGACGATAAAATCACAGACTAACTCTGTAAAAAGGGTTCCTAATTGTACACATTTAAGTTATAGTGAAAAATGAAGAATGAAAACAATGTCGATACTTCCAAACAGAAAAATCGAAACTTTGCTTAAATAAGGGAGAAAGAATAGAAATTTGGGGATTGGAATTGGGACCCGACCTGAATACTGAAATCGCCGTCCAAGGAGACGTTATGTGACTCCTCGGAGAGGAAATCACCGGCGTGGGAGCCGCCCTCGACGAGCATCATCTGCCGCTCCTTCCGATCGAGATCGGAGGCGAGCGCCGCCAAATCAAATTCAGAGAAGAACGGACCCTGCAGCACCGTGTTCACGCAATGCACCGCGCAGAGCTTCGACTCTTGTACCTCGTGGTACAACATCCCTCCGTTGCTCGCCCCTTCCATCTCAGAAAAAAAAAAAAAAAAAAAAAAATCCCCAAATTACAAAAGAAAAAAAAAAGGAAATGAAAACCCTAGATTCTTAGAATCTTTGCCTCTGAGACGAATTGAGGAGAAATTGGATGTGAATATTTGAGGGAGAAAGCTATAAAAGCAATGAAGAGCAACAGGAAAGATTCCAGTTTTGCATTTTCAGCTGTGACGAGAGCGTTTTGGTGAGGGACCACGTGCTTGACACGTGTAAAGACGCGCGAAGACAAGGTTCGTTTCGCTCTGCTTTTTCATTTATTTATTTATTTTCTTACTCAAAGTGGGAAGCAATACCTATCCAATCCAGTTCAACGTTAGAAGAGCGCCCAAGTACGTCAATCTTCACATGTTCCTGTCTACTTTTGATTTAGTTAAAAATCGTATTAGAGACTAAGCCCACTTTTTCTTTTTTTAATATAAATAACATCGTTGGTTAAAAAAAAAAAAGTCAAATAATGTTATTCACGCATATATTTTAATTACTTATGCATCTTTGTTAATTTTTGGTCATTGACTTCTTTAATTCATTTTATTCGACGTCCGAAAATTAAAATTGATGTTTGAAAAATAAAAATTGGTGTGTGGATAGTATTACTGTAAAAGTAAACTACCAACACTTTATGAATCAACATTTATTTATAGAAGTAATTTCCGCACCCCTTTTTTAACCTTTTTATTTTTGAAAAAGCACTTGTCTCACTTAAATTTCATGATTTTTTTGGCTAATTATATTTTACATCCTATAGGTTTGAAGTGATTTTTGAAATAGACATCTCTAATTTGAGTGTGTAATCCCCAAGGTTTTGAAAATTGTATCCATTTACACTTTTGTCTTTCTGAAATTTGAATGTCTAATCTTGCATTAAATTGATGAGTTTTTTTGTCAATTTGGTACAAACACGTTAGCCTATATAAGGATCTCAAGATCACCACGTCATCAATTCAATGAATTATCATACAATCAATACATTGAAGGTACAAACTTAAAAAAAAAAATAATAAAAATAAAAAAATTATCGAGTAAAAAGTCAATCATTCTTTCAATAGATGGTTGGGATGAAGTATTATTGACCCAACTAAAACAAACCTACCTCACTTGAATATCAATAATGCTTAAACATACATTAGATACACACACACATACATATAATTTAGTAGTTATTAAATGCACTGTACTTCATTTTAATAAATGAAATTCAAAAATTAACTAACATGCAGTGAGGGTACAATACCCAATTCATATAATTTAAAGAACATGAATTTTGGATTATATGACAGTCATACAAAAATTAGGAATAAGAAAGAAAGCAACTTATACCACCCCATGAAACCACACAGCCTAAAAATGGTGTGGGGGGTTGGTTTACCCATTTCCTTGGGCAACAATGTGTTTCAACAATTCCAACCTAATGCCAACCCGAATTTATTGGGTTAACAACAAGTTGTAATCCAACTCGACCAACCCACCCGATACCCACCCTACTATCTAGATAACATTGTGTATTGGCAGCCATTCTACAACAATAACAAAACCCTATTCCACTAAGTAGAGTCTGTATGATTGTATCAAAGAAAGAAAAACAAAGGCTAATAAAACAAAAAAAAATACTATCATTCTATTCAGCTCTCTCTCTCTCTCTCTCTCTCTCTCTCTCTCTCTCTCATACAAGCAGATCATAATGGTTCCTGCCACTGTAGAGGAGCCTAACAACCTTTCTGGGCTTTTTGTTTCTAGAACCTTTTGTAAACTCGCTTCCATATTCTGCAATCGGAATGAAACCAGAACCCAGTCCACCATTTGTATGCTGCAAGTTATTTGAACCAACAGATCACAACTAAAACACTAAGTAAATCTCACTATAAATCCGATTACTTGATGAGAAAACGCGCTGCTAAAATATATATATATAAAGCACACACTAAGAAAATGTGCATTGCTAACGATCTCCACCCTTATACTAAATGAAGATGCTCCGTGCACAAATAGTTAGACCAGTCGATGATTTGGAGCTTTTCATATGTCAGTTTTGAGTTATCTCCGAAGCTAAAATAGATAAGTTGGTTGGCATCAATAAAGATAATACATTCTTAATGGAAAAATATACCTCATGCTCTGGTATGTAAACAGTGATTGGCTGCCCACACAACTTTGACAGCACCTGCAGTATTGAGGAGGGTGATCGGTCACACAAAACACGCAGAGATAGAGAGAGAGAGAGAGAGAGAGAATTCAACACTCACCTAAACTACTGCAAGAAACGAATTACAGCAACAAATATGAGAAGTCATATTTTTTTTCTAACCTACTCGACAAGAAATAGCATTTGGTTTAAAACATCAACTCCCACCATACGGATAATCTCCTACCGGGGACCAATAGCCATTAGTTGAAGCCTAAATTACAGTAATTAGTTAACTTAGGATACCACCTAAACAAAACTTGATTGATAATATCTACAGCTGACAATCCAGTGATACTATTTATAATACATACAGTGACAAAGTGTTAGAAATAAAAGAGTCTGATCAAGAAAACTGACCAGCAGCTCAGACTCTCCTCCCCAGAAATCCGGTCTATTGATGCGCTGGCAGTAACTGCAGAAAGACATTTTCAAATATAGGAGATTAATTTCCATTATAACGACATGCTAAAGCACCTGCCAGAACAACAAAACCTGATACAACTTTTGTAATCACGAGGAGAAAGATAGAGGTCTACCGTTTTAAGGACTCATCGACAGTGATTGCCACCAAAGCAGGTTCATACTTAGGGCGCTCTTCCTCATCTTCGCATATAACCTCTTTCACAGCCATTCGTAGTTCGTCTATGGATTCACAGTAAGTTACTCAGTCATGCTCAATTGCCACCAAAAATCGTAAGAAAAATCTCCAAGCCAAAACTTAGTGCAACCTAAGAGACCAGTCCTAAACATTGTCCTTGCAACCATTTTATAGAGCATTTCGATATCATAAATTCAACAAAATTTGACAATTGCTTTCATGATGTCCATCAAATAAGTTCTAAATTCTTGAAATCCACATTGAAATTGAGAACTTTTACGTAGAAAATCAGCATATACCTGCATCATCTTTCTCTTGCCTTGGGCTAAGAGGAACCCCTTTATTCAAAGCCATTCCTTTCACCTGAATAAATTTTAAAACTTTGAGAGAGAGAGAGAGAGAGAGCTCAAAATTTTAGTTTTAGCAGACGCGGTTATGCCAGTTGGTCAGCAAATTTACTTTTACTGGTTGTAAGTCTGAAATGTAAAAAATCTCAAAATACCAGAGCACGAAACAGACAGCGCCCGTCGCCGGTAACTTTCTGAACCGAAAAGCGTTCAACTTTCTTCATCGCCGACGATCCTCTGCCTCTGTAAAAGCAAAAAGTACGAATTAGGGGCTTAATCCTTATGAAATTAAACGAAAATTATAAAACGGTGAAATGTTGAAAAATAGAGCGGGAAATTACAGTGGCGGTCCGATTCTAGCGAAGAACCGTTGGCTGTGGTCCCCGAACGCCGCCGTTTGGTGCGACGGAGAATTGGAAGTTGAAATTGAAAGCACGGGGGAGGAGGCGAGCTCGAACCGAGCAGTTCCATTCCTCAACTGCTCGAGAACTGACTCCGCCATGGAAAAAGCTGCTCGGGGAGACGACCGTGGATAGAATCAGAATGTGAAGGCTGAGACCGGATAAAACAAATGCGTGGGGTTTGAAACGGCGTCGTTAGATGGGGAGACTTGGCCGTTCGTTCGGTAGTTTGGGCCTAGGCTTTTGAATTTTTCTATGCGCGGGTAGCCCAGTCCCGCCTATAAGCAGACTGGGCCTAGGCTTTTAAATCGTTTTCTCCTTTATCCGAATTCAAATCTTCTGTACTCATTTTATGTGTGGTCTTTGTTATTGATTGGCATGTATTAGGTTTATAAAAACAGAGTGAAGGAGGATTTAAAACGTGTTAATCAATGATAGATACTAGGAAAACCACACACAAAATGAGTGCAAAAAACTTTATATCTTATTCTCCTCCTCATATTTTTCTCCAATTATTACTGGTATCTACGTACACATCGTTGTTCATCTAATTATGCACTTTTATTTTAAGATCACCTTTTCAAAAATACTTTGTTCTAGTAAGATTTGCGCTTGAAAACCAGTTGAAAACCTCAAAGCTTTGACAATTGTAATTTGCAATTTTGTTCAATTTCATGTACGTTGTTAATGTTGAGAGCAAAAAATGGACTTTGTATATGTTTATAAATAATTCGGCTACTTTTCGTATTGTCAATTGGTTTTATAGTGAAATTTCAACTTTTTTCATGGTACCAGGGCAAGTTATCCCATGTATGAAGCTCAATGATCATACGTGCTTCATGTCACCCAATTGTGTTATTCACATGTTAGGTTTAAAATTTCGACACACGTAAAAAGACATGTAAGAGTATTAATCTTAGATCTAGAAAGTAATTAAATACTCTTCATATTGTCAATTAATTTTGTTATAAAAGCTCAATTTTTTAGAGTTAAATTAAAATGGCCCCGATGGCATGGCACCGTCTACCAACCAACAACCTAATAACCTAACAATGATAAGAATTAAGAGGGAGTTTCCAATATTTTCCACTCACGTCCCTCCATTTCGGCATTGCCTACTAATTTGGATTTTGGAGGGCCGGCACTATCTGCTCCATCTTCTTGTCTTTGTTTCATGAAATTTTACACTGTTTGGGGTCGTTTTAAGAATGTTCGCATGGGAAGCACTTCTGCGTTGATTCATTACCTAACACTGCATTGCCCATTATTTACAAAAAGAGAAATGGCCTCTCTCAAAACGAAATTTTTGTTACCTCGTACTTTTGATATATTATTTTATGATATTGTCATGAAAATTAATGTTAATTTATAAGGTATCAGAAATTTCATGAAGAGTCTCATTTATATGCACAATAGATTCATTTATGTACCCATTGTACCGTCTATTAATAATTCTCGAATGAAGCGGTTTAATTAATTTAATAAAAGATATTAGGAGTGTACCCCTATGAGATTGAACATTGAGGGCATCGAGCCCAAGTCACGTGAGCGCAAGAGCCAGAAACACACACGTGCCTGGACGAAGAACCAAAGGGTCCATATCACTCCTCTCCCTCCCCTCAACAGAGGCACATTCTCTGCCATTCTATTTTTCGTGTCTTCCTATTTGTACAATCACGTTTAAAACTTATCAATGTTTTATATTGCTATTCTTTTTTATTTTATTATCTTTATAAAAAATAATATAAAATATTAACATGACTTAACTGTAATCATAGGCGCGAAGGGGAAGGTCGAAGAATCTGCTCCCCCTCAACGGCCAAACCCAAAAATGCTGGCTATTTATTTATAATTTTCCTAACTCGTTCGAACCAGGCCCCTCCCTTTCCCCTCGCCCACCGAGTCAACTCACTTCCAACTCGGAAGTCATAAGAAGTATCGCCCACCTCACGCACACTCGGCTCTTAAGAAAACCCCAACAAAACTGCGTCGCTCTCCTTGGCGATCTCCACGAAGCGCCATTTCTCTCTCCTCTACCACTCTACTCCCTCGCATTGCCGATAATAACACTCATTCATCTCTCTCCGCCCCCATTATCTTTCAGATCCTCCTCTCTCCGCGCCATCTCCAATCCGCTACTTTCCGGTAAAGTTCAAATTTTCCCGAGAAAATTTCAGCTCTCCTTTCATTTCTCACTAAGCTCTAGAAAGAGAACACTGCAATTAGGTTTTTTGTTTCGTGCGTGTTGAATATTTGGTTCGGTTTTTTTGTTTTCGATTATTTTTTTCTGCTTGATTGCTAAAAAATGGAGGAAAGATTGTGATTTGGGGGAGAAAGTTTGTATCTTGCTGTTAAAATCGTGGAAAATCAGCTCAATTAGTTCGATTTTTAAGTTTTTGAGTTTAATTATTTGGATTTTTGTTTTGGCGGGGGGTTGGGAGCTGCTAATTAGAAGCTAGCTACTATAGAAATTGCTTTGATAATCTGATTGGTAATTTTTGTTTAGATTCACAATTTCGGAGCTGGATTTGGGAATCTGTGATCTGATTGGCGAGATTAGTGTGTAATTTGGAGGAATTAGCCTTCGGGTCCGGAGAATGGCTTCGATATCTCATTCTCCACTGGCGTTCGCCGGAACAAGCACCGCTTCGGATCTTTTCCGGAGCTCGAGTAATGGTGTTAGCGGTGTTCCGTTGAGAGCCCTAGGGAAGGTAAGGTTGGGCATGAGGAGGAACCTTGTGGTGGCCGCCAAGCTCAGGAAGGTTAAGAAGCATGAGTACCCCTGGCCCGAGGATCCGGATCCCAATGTCAAAGGTGGAGTGCTCACTCATCTCTCTCACTTCAAACCATTGAAGGAGAAGCCCAAGCCGGTTACTTTGCCATTCGAAAAGCCGCTTGTTGATATCGAAAAGAAGATCATTGATGTAAGCCTTCTTGCTGGTTTAAGTTTATTTTTTTGTTTGGGAATTTGTCATGCTTTGGAAGTGTTTTTTACCGAGACATTTATTGATCACAGGTGCGGAAGATGGCAAACGAAACTGGGCTGGACTTCAGTGATCAAATTATTTCTTTGGAGAATAAATACAACCAGGTTTGATGAATAAATGCATGGCTCTTGTTCAGTTAGAGAATTAGTAGCTAATGTACAGATTTCGGTTCTCGTTCAGTTTCTGGTTCTCAAGTTTTCTCTGGACTTATATCTTTTGGTTTCAGGCTTTAAAGGATTTATATACGAATCTGACTCCTATACAACGTGTGAATATTGCACGACATCCTAACAGGCCAACTTTCCTTGACCATGTGTTTAGCATTACTGATAAGGTCTGATACTGACTTCTTTACATACTTACGGAGTTTGTGCGTATTGTCTATTTGATCCTTTATTTCCTTTTTGGAGAAAGGGAGTCAATTAGTGGGTTTATTGGTGGTGGAAATAATTGCACACTAAATGGTTTCTTTAGTTTAATATGTACAGTTTGTGGAGCTTCATGGAGACCGAGCAGGGTACGATGATCCTGCTATTGTCACTGGTATAGGAACTATAGATGGTAGAAGGTATATGTTCATGGGTCACCAGAAAGGTAGAAATACGAAGGAGAACATTATGCGTAACTTTGGGATGCCTACTCCTCACGGGTACTCTAAGTGATAGATACTTGTGCATTTAATAAGATACAAGATATAAGATTAGCTTTCATGTCCAACTTAATATTACTTGAAAAAAAATAACATTGGAACACTATCCATGCAGTTACCGGAAAGCTATGCGCATGATGTATTATGCAGATCACCATGGTTTCCCAATTATTACTTTCATCGATACCCCGGGAGCATATGCAGACCTTAAATCTGAGGAACTGGGCCAAGTATGTTGTAGCTGTAACTTAAATTTCACATGGTTCTTATTTAGATTTTGTATTGGGTCACCTAATTTGTTTGTGTTACAAACATTCAGGGTGAAGCCATAGCTCACAACTTGCGGACTATGTTTGGTCTGAAAGTTCCTATTGTCTCTATTGTCATTGGAGAAGGTGGCTCTGGTGGTGCCCTTGCCATTGGTTGTGCTAATAAATTGTTAATGCTTGAAAATGCAGTCTTCTATGTTGCCAGGTAATTTGGATTTGGCTTTGTCTTGTTCAATATCTTAGAGAAGTTGTTCAAATGGAAATGTGCTCGTCTTTTCTTCATTGTTTGAGCGACGAGATGATTCTCATGTGGTGGTGTGCTAGTATATTTACTTTGTAAGATATATCTCTAAAGGGGTCACTTCCCTGGAAGGAGGCTGAGACTGTAGGTCTGCCATATATCCAGATTAATTCCGTTCTTTTCTGGTCATTAGTTCAGAATATTGAGTTCTATATATGAGTAGATCAGTGATTACTTTCAGGCTTGTTTTCCTTTTTCTGTTCAGTTAAGCATAAAACTAATTTATTGTTTTCTTCGGGTTTTCTCCTTTCTTCTTGTTTTTAGTCCAGAAGCATGTGCAGCAATCTTGTGGAAGAGTTCTAAAGCTTCTCCAAAGGTCTATGCGACATTTACTATTGTCTTAGTCTTTATTTGATTAGTTGATCATAGACTATTAAAACTTCATTTGTATTTTCTGCAGGCTGCTGAGAAGTTGAAAATTACTGCAACTGAGTTGTGCAAGCTGCAAATTGCAGATGGCATCATCCCTGTATGTTTTGCAATCCTACCATTTTAGCTTTCTATATGCGTCTTTGTTTTTAGAATGCGGATATGTCGAAGAAATAATGTAGCTTGATGACATTGTTGTTTCAAATATTTCTGTGGTGCACCTTGGGTTGTGCTTGATAATATTCCTTGGTTCCTTTATCAAACATGTCCTTGTCATTGGAATCATTGATACATTAGAAATGGTCATTCCCAGCTATGGTTTTTTTTTTTCTTGATAATCTTTGACTTTGTTCGATTTTGCCAATCTGGCATAAACTTTCTATTTTCTTGCCTTTAACAGGAATGCCATACAGATTCTTTTGCTCAAATTCGCTGTTTTTTCCTTTGTTTCATTATCCAAGCTCACCCTGTCTCATGGGAAACTTTGACATTCCAAGAAAGAACATTCCCTAAATGCACATTATCTTTTTGTTAGTGTTCAGTGTTGCTAATGTGGCAGCTAAGATTCAATTTTATCCCCTTTAACAGGAGCCGCT